ATATATGCAATGTGAGTGCATGGAATATGGAAAGAGGAATATAAAAAATGTGCATATCAATTAGCCCAAAAACCTTAGCTTATATACAGGAGCGAGTGGTCCAAATTGAAACCAATCCAACGGCTACCAAATTCCCACTACACTAATATTAGTATATGGCATTGTAGCCATACACTTAGCCCTCACATCATCCCCTCCTCTCGGAATAATAGAAGACTATTAGGGTTCTCTTGTAGATGGATTGGGATTGGGAAGAACGTCAAGAGGAGGCATTAGCAGATCTATAGGTGGTATTAATTGCTCCTAATCCCTTGGTATTAAGTGTTTCAACCGTTACACATGCATAATCTCTGAAGGATCGGTCTACTATACGTCATGCCAAACTTTATAAACTTGTGGTCCAACTTGCCGCAACACCTGATACAGTCCTTTTCACTGAGCAAGGAGCCCCTTAGATAAACCACGTACCGTAAGATGGGGAAAATGGACTAACACCAAATTAGCACCATTGTTGTCCCATTTGTACGTGGCCTAAGTGTTTAGCAAACTTTGCTCAGACAAGTGGAAGAATGCTCATCAAATACTGATCCCACAACCTAGCATTAGTAGCTTGTGGCAATCGCAAAGGTAAACCTAGCTCTATTGGTAATATTGGATCATGACCATATAAGAGTTTATTTAGTGAAGCACCAACAGAACTTTACACCCCTGTGATATATGCATACCAAAAAGATGGCAAATAACCATCCCAAACCAAATGCTGAAAGTTCACATACTTCGTAATCATCCCTTTGAACGTCTGAACAAATCGTTCCACCAAACCATTTGATTGTGGATGATAAGCACTCATGAAAGTGTGGCATATCCCCAACCGAGATGTCAAAACATGAAATGCCTTAGCCATAAATACAAGACTATTATCTGAAAGAATCTGCTCTAGACAAGAATGCTGGAACACCTGTCAGGAATCCCCCAATTCTTGCCACATTCCTGACTCTCGCCAGATTCCTGACTTGCAACCACATTCCTGACTCTCGAGACACTTCCCTATTCTTGACTCTCTAATTTTCCATACAATTCCTGATTCCCAAATCACATTTCTGATGATGATGTGGCACCTCCTCGACCTTAGCTATATTTAAGCCGTCCTCGATCCAAGAATGGTGGAGCTTTATCAACCTATAATATATAGAGGTTAACATATTTTCAGACCCATAGACTAAACCTCCAAAGCAAGGAAGCTCTTGTAACTCAAATTGGTACATAGGATTAATTCGTTTTGACTTTCTCACTGAACTTTGCCATTGTTTCAGGAGGAAGGAACACCGTGACTTCAATGGCTTTCCCACCTCTCGGTGACGGGTCGTAGAAGCAGAAGCCGTTCCACAGCTTCGTAGCGTGTCGAACAGCGGCTGGTTTCCCCCATCCAAAGTCCAGACTATACATTGGAAATCTTGGAGAGCTGCCACCCCAGGTATCCACACCATCTGTCACGCCTTTGCTGAACGGGTTACTCCCTTTGGTGTTTTCGTTGTAGATGGCAATTGCGGAGCGGATCTCATACTCGTGATTGCCTCGTGGACAACAGCTCCCGTGAATGGAAGGCCTCCAGTCACAAGTTCCCCGGCTGTGGACTCGGCCAGCGCACAGAACACACAGTTTCCAAAGTAGCCCGCCAGGAGAGGAGTGCTCAGCCGGCTTCTACAGTTGAGTGGAAGCTGATGGCTGGTTTTCTGAGATGCTGGAAGATGGCGAGCCTTGCAAAGTGCTATCCAGACCTGTGACGCCACGACCTCGAACGCTGAGAAACTACCCGACGCCAAGAACTTAAGCCTCTCGATAGTCCCGTCGTCGAACTCGAAGATCTTGGCCTCCATGCCATTGGAAACCTCCTCGAAGACATATGAAAGGGAACTGGTCGGGGTTATGCTGGAGAACTGCTCGTGCTGCTGCTCGAAAAACCGGTCGTGAGTTGGAGGCATGGAGATGGAAAGGCCTCGACAGATCTCGGACCAGGAACACATGAATTGCCACAACGAGCTGCCGTCCATGACGAGATGATCAAACGACCAAGCAACACACACGCCTCCGCAGCGAAACTCAGTCACCAGTTCTTCACGAGATCAAACGCGAGAAAAAAGTCTTTTTGCGGGATCTTTACCTGGATAGTGATGAAAGGTATGTTGGTCGACAAGCCACTAAACTCATAGTTTCCTCTTTTGATCAGCTTGGAGGACCACGGCCGGGGCTGGGAGTAATCGAGCTCCTCCAGGGAGACTTGCATCAGCGACGCAGAACTCAACGCCGGCTCCGCTGCAAGAGATCACAGGTCTGTCTCCCTCGTTTTGGATCTCTAGCCTTCCAGCTAAGGGATAGAAATCTACCAGGACTTTGGCCAAGCACGCCTTCATCCTCTCAATCAAGCTCTCGTTACTGCTACTGCTACCGCCTTTGGATTCGAAGAAGCAAACGAGCTGGAGGTAAAGCATGCTGCTTCTCTTTTGCATTATGTCGAGAGCCGTGAATGGAAGCTTGGAGCAGTGACCATCTTCCAGTTTCTTCTCGGGAGAGATCTTTGAGACTTGGCGCTCTTGCACTTCAAAGCTCGCCGTGGCCGGAAGTGCGAGACTAGAGAGGGAAGAACAGCACTAGTTTGTGTGTCCCAGCTTTTGGCATCTTTTAGGATATGCATTACTCTGAGAATTTACCATCAATACATATATATATTCTGGGATTTGAAAACGAACCACCCCAATATTTACCGGCAATCAATGATCACCTCAAAGCAATACAAGCAGTGCATTCCAAGGTGCAACAACGCTTTAGAAGGTGTGATAATATATTCTAGTGTGTGATTTTATTAGTTTTTTCTAGGCATTGAGAATGCTCTCTAAGGCAAAAGGTTTGCTTCTTTCTTCTCTTGTTTAAGACTTAACTCGTGGAAGTTATAGGAAGTCATGGTCAAAGCGACGACGTCGTGGAGAAGGCTGCCATTCACAACTCTAGGTATATTTCTTAAAAATTAGCTGCTCCTATGCCTGGATGAGGCGAAGCGTCCGTTTTGCGAGCATGGCACTCCAATCTCGCTTAAAGCTCAAACTCTGTCAAGAAAACAAAAGAAAAACTCAGAGTTCAATTCCCTGATATCCTTACCTTTCAGAGGATGAGCTTTCGTCCAATCGTAGCAAACAGTCATCAAACCAGCAATGTCCACACACCCGACGTAAACGACGGCTTTGCGGTGCGTGAGCCCAGCCTCGAGAGCTGAAGACAAAAAGAAACAACAGTTAGACAGTATCAATCCTCCGCCAAGAATATCCAAACCTTTCCCGAAGTCGGGATCGTCCTCGACTCGTCGTTGGAACTTGTCGCGGATGGCAGTCTGATCGAGCCTCCTCTCTCCCTTCTTCTTCTTCTTCGTCGATCGAGTATCACGAGCCGGGATCTCCTCGAATTCCACCACCACTCCGCCAAGACTTCCTTCATCGTCAAGGACAGGGGCACCAACCTCCACCGTGCTCTCCACCGGAAGCATCACCATGCGGTAAGGCACGCACTCACCAGTTGTGAGGGTTCGATCCTCAAGGAAGATGCCCGCCACGCACTTGATGTCCCCGGACTCTGGGTCGCGCTTCCAGCTGTAGGCATCCCCCGACCTGGCAACCCAGTCAGTCCAGTTGATGCAATAGTTGAAGCTGACGGGTTTGGTCGGCGTCAGGATGGCGAGCTGTTCGATCGCTTCCTCGTAAGTCACCACGCACTCGTACACCAGTGGTGGATCCGGAAACACCAGGACGTGCTTGCCGGAGGTGGAGCTACGGTCGCAGCACACAGCGGCGGTGAAGCAAGATCCATCGGGCTTCACCAAGGCGGCCAGGCCCCTGTAGTTGTCATCGCTCGGCTCGTCGTCACCCTCCACAAAGTGCAGGCGAGCCACCATCTTGGAGACCCTGGACTGCAACACGCTGCGAACTTGCTCTGGCTTCATGCCCTCTGGCTCCAGCTCCTTGACGTACGACCACAGGCCCGCGACGTTGCTCATGAACGCCTTGTATCGCCTCGACTCTGCGGCCTCTCTCCTTTGCCTCTTCCTTGCCACCAGATCCTTCTCGTCTTTCTGCCGGATGAGATCCTGGACGGGAGGGTGCTCGTAAGTAGCGGCAGAGCAGCGGCGGCCGGTGATGAGGAGCGCTTGGTCCCGGCTACTACCGTCACCCTGGTCCTGGATCATCGCGGCGATGTCGTCGAGGGAGAGCATCGAGTTGCCGTCGGGGCCTGGGACTAGAGCGCAGTCGCCGATGCGGAGGGAGTCCGGGTCCAGGCCCCAGTGGCGAGCGATGGCACCCACCATGAGTTTGGAGCCATCCAAAGGGAATCGCAGCGCCTCGTCACCCCGCTTCACCCACACCACCGCCATAGCTCGCTTAGATCAGGAACCCTAAATCTGCTCGCGACGGCATTAAGTCCTGAAGCGATCTGGGAATGGGAAAGCGAAGATTTCATTGATATGTTTTGTCGCCATCACTCCAACCGAGCAAAACGTCGAGATGTCCATTACCATGCAGGTCATTGACGATTCGTGAAAGTCCATTACCATCCAAGGTTTAATTTTGCTTCTCCTGTCTTCTGTATGGATTTGGGAAGACACGGACTACATTGGCAATCTTTTTTAAAATGATATTTCTAAATCTTTTGATTTCATGTTTCATGGTGGGCATATATAAATGAATGAATGATTCAAGGAACTTTCTTCTGGGATTAAAAACGATTGAACAGGACACGCACGCTTTTCGTCACACCAGAGTTTGCAAACCTTGCTTGGCTACGCTTTCTCTTTGCCTTTTCGGCTGCCACCACTAAGAGGAGCCCCGGGAGGCGGCGGGACCGCCTCGACCCCTGCTGCTACTGCCACCTCTGCCGCGGCTGCCACCATCACCCGGCCACGGTTGCTAACTCCCCCATCACCTCAGCGGCTGCTGCCACCGCCGCCATCACCTCGACGGCTGTTGCCACCTCCACTGTTCCGCTCCCACCAGCTGCTCCACCGCTCGTACTAGCTCCACGTAGAGCGCTCATGCAAGCGTAAGATTTTCCCTACTAGAGCGCTTCTGATGTCGATCATCTTTTCACGGCCCCAAAATGCTGGAACTTCAATCCCGCTGGAGCCACGCTCCCTAGCTCCTAAACAACGGATCGCTTGCCTGACAAGATCCCCAGAAATGTAGCTCCTCCTCGTCAAGAGCCCTAATCTGCGGGTGTAAATATCATCTAAGATATTCCTTAAAGTAAATCTTGCAATTTTATTACTTAGACCCCTAACACTTCTACAGTATAAAGAGTACTTTAGTTCCATGCAACACGTTCAGGTTTTTTTTAGGTTGAGGTTATTTGGATTTGTATGAAAGAGAAAAAAAAGTTCATATTACTGATTTGGCCAAAAAGGCCAGCGTTCATGCTCCAGGTTGTGCTGCAAAAAGAAAAAAAACTAAATTTGAACTAATAGTGCACAGTTGGCATTATACGCCAATTTCTCCTAGTATCATCCTAAGACTGACAAATGGCTTGAAGTATGTAATACTAATTCTAATTGCAACTTGCTTATGTGTCACTGACTAGCATCTCTCAGTCTAGCGCCCTGTACCGCTGGGACTTTCTCCGTGTGTCGTTGCTCCTTGATCGGTCAGAACTCCTTCAGAGGATACACTTTGTCCTCCTCGTCCGTCGCGTCTCTCTGCGCGTAGTACTGCTGGTCGACCTCCGGGAGGTATGCCAAGAAGTGATACCGCCTCCCTAGCTTCATCAGCTCCGTGCTTACTGGGAGAAAAGGCATGTCCTTTTCGATCTGCAGCATCGCGATCTCATGCTCCTCATCCACAGCAACAAACGTAGCGCTCATCCTGGCCGGATCCGTGGGGAAAAGAACTGCCCATTTGCACCGGAAAGGGTCGTAGCCGGAGAGAGCAGGGAGTGGCACGAAGCAACGCCTGCAAATCAAGGCGAGGGAGCAGCATGGATTTCTAGCCAGGAATCAAGAGAAAGTTCTCACCTTGGATCCACCATGACGACAGTCGTGATCGTTGTGACAGAAGAGAGGAAGCTCTCCTCGTCAGTCTTGAGGTAGAGCCGACCCAGTGCCGATCGTGCATCGCGGAAATCATCGTCTTCCACCTCGAATCTTCCATAGCGCCGAGCCCTCTCGCTGCTGGAAGCCATCAATTGGTAGAAGACTAGGGTTTAAGGGGGTTTTACTAGAAAGAACTGTTTTTTATGCTCCGGCCAGAGGTTCTTTTCTTTCGCGCGCGGCCTTGGGGCTGATCAGCAGCGTGCTTGGCCTTTGTCTTCGGCTATTTCCTCTTCATCTACGTTACGCCCGTGGATGTCAAGGTAGGGATTCTCGCCACGAATGTAGCTAGATTTTGAGAAATTTCTGATCACTTGGCTCGCAAGATCCTACAGGGAGCTTGAAGCCAAGCCGCTACGCCGGAGATTCCTTTAGTCCAGAGTAAGTGCCAATCTTTCTTTCCTCTTTCATGTCGCATTTTTCTAAAACAAGTTCTTAGCGGATCTACCTTGGCATTGCTTACTCTGGCTTGCAAATGTAGGCTATTTGCAAAAGACGCTGCTAAACCATACTGGGATACCGGGCGAAGTTCAAGCTACGATGTCAACTTATCGATGGGAATAAAAGGAGCTAGTTCCTACTCGTAAGTTTTTCGATGGTTTTCTCTTGGATCTTCGCTAAAGGAAGTATCTACAGGTGATAGCACTGGTGGAGCCGATCATTTCCACCATCTTTTTGAGGACCGAGAACCGTGTGGCTCATCGCTCCTTGAATCACCAGCCAAAGTATAGCCTCGTCACCAGGGCCGGAGAAGGCTACAGCGTGACTGCGCGCTGTCCTCGCTCGAATTCGAGTCCTCGACATTAATCACGTTTGTAGGTAGTGTTGTTCCTTTGTTCTTGTACGTGCTGTCTTTGACGACTTCGTCTCGCAGGCATCAAAGTGTTTGATACTCACGTTACGGTCAAGGCGTTTGGCCTCTCCAGCTTGGTAGCTACATCGCTTTTCTGTTCTCTCTCTTCCAGCGTCTGAAATTCTTTCTTGCATTCGGGAATGCTTCGCAGGATCATAGTCTCTCTAAGGCAAAAGGTTTGCTTCGTTTATCCTTAGCGATCAAGGATTAAAGTATCGGAAATGTACTTGTGGCCCAGAACAATGGAAATCAACGTCATAGAAGATCCGAGGTAAGACTTAGCGTGGAAGTCGTACATATACTCATGAATACCTCTCAGAGCGCTGTTGCGGAAAGTCAAGGTTGTCGGGGCGACGGGAAGTCTGCCTGACCCATACGCGAGTGGTGAAAGACCGTTTGCCAAGAAAACCGTGAAAAAGAACACTCTCAATCCAAATTGGAACGAAACCTTTAACCTTTGGAATGTCAAGCTCTTGAGCTATTTGTTTAACTGGGCAAAGGTACGTGACGAGGCTTCTGATTCATTGCAAGCCCATCCAAGCTAGTGTTTACGGGGAGAAGTTGCTAATGCCGTCGAAAAGCTCCAGAAGGAAATGGTTTGGTGCCGAAGACTTGGAAGGCAAGCATCACACGAACTGAGGCTCGCGTTTAGAGGCAAAGCAAAGAAAACCAAGGTACGCAGAGTCCTCCCTTGATTTGGTTTTTGTTCTTTCTCTGTTGTCTTTGCTGGTGGTTTCTCAGGCTATAAAGAAGAACAGAGATAAAGAACAACCTTCAAGTTCGAAAGATCTCTTAAAGAAAATATAACAAAAGAGGTTTGAATGAGACTGTACTTGCGTTATCTTGACATTTGTACTAACTTGGCTGCCTGCGCATACCATTTTCGCTCAAATCTCTCGAGCACTGAGTTTTCTCCTCCAATGGCATTGAAGCTTACCTCGGGCAATGCTGAAGACTTCCCTGATGAGTTAAGTTCGTCTTTTCTTCGTTTTCACAGGAAGAACTGGTGTTTTCACATGTTGTTCCAGAGGCAAGATTCAGAGCTTACGCACGAGGAAACTCCGGCTACATCGTGAAGGCAGCCACAAGAAAGAAAGATCCTAGCTCATGGTCTCCTTTCTTTCAGGACACTAGCGGACGTAGAAGCAACCTGTCGAAAGCTCAAGTTCAAGCGGTTGATTTTCAAGCCGAGTTTCTAGAGCTCGAAAAGCAAGCTCTCCAATCCAGTTTGCAGGCATTTGTTTCGTTCAGGGTGACATACACACTTGCCAGAGGAAGCCGCGCGAACGATGGCATCGCATTGTGCTCTCTTCGATTATTGTTAACTCTATTATATATTTATTACCAAATTAGAGAGAAAAAGAGAAAGAGAGAGAGAGTGTTTCTCTATATCAAAATGTTAAGAGCGGCTAGTTATGTACTAAGTTCACGGACACACGACCAAGTGCCCTGCCACTTGTCCTTCGATGGGAATATCCATGTCTTTGTTGACAAAGTGTCGGCGGATATTCCACTATCCAATACTTAGTAAAGCGCGTTTCAGGGGAGAGAAGTGTGAGGCTTCTACATATGGACACGAGGCGCCGGTGAGAGAATAGGGTTTTTCTTTTCTTTCGCGTGCGGCGATGGGGTTGATCGGCACCGTGCTGGGCCTTGTTGGGTTCGCCTGGGGAATCGGCTTTGGCGTCGTCATTGGCTACTTCCTCTTCATTTATTTCACGCCTGTGGATGTCAAGGTAGGGATTCTCGCCACGAATGTAGCTAGATTATGAGGAATTTCTCATGTGCTGATCGCTTGCCTCGCAGGATCCTATAATCCGACCTTTGCAGGAGCTCGATACCAAGTCGCTGCAGGAGCTATTGCCAGAGATTCCTCTCTGGGTTAAAAATCCAGACTATGATAGAGTGAGTGCCAATCTTTCTGTGATTCCTTTCTTCGATGGACGATCATGGTCGCATTTTCTTTTGCCAGGTGGACTGGCTAAACAAATTCTTAGCGGATCTTTGGCCTTTCCTTGACAAGGTGTGATGCTTGAACAATATGGCTAGATTTTATTATATCTTACTTTATGGTTGCATGACTTGCAAATGCAGGCTATTTGCAAGATCATTCGTGACACTGCCAAACCATACATTGATGAATACGGGGCGAAGTACAAGCTACAGTCGTGCGAATTCGAGGCCTTGACATTAGGCACGCTGCCACCGACGTTTGTAGGTAACGTTTTTCATTTTTCTTGTTTTTTTTTTTTTTTTTTTGTTTTTACGACTTCTTCTCGCAGGCATCAAAGTGTATGATACTCAAGAGAAGGAGATGATTATCGAGCCGTCTCTTAAATGGGCTGGAAATCCAAACATTCTCGTTGCTGTCAAGGCGTTTGGTCTCAGAGCGACTGTCCAGGCTAGTAGTTACAGCGCTTTTTTTTCTCTTCCAGCGTCTGAGCTTTTTCCCTTTCTTCAGGTTGTCGACTTGCAAGTGTTCGCCACCGCACGCGTTACGTTGAAGCCCCTTGTTCCTGCATTCCCATGCTTTTGCAAGATCATAGTCTCTCTAATGGAAAAGGTTTACTTCTTTTTTTTCTCCTGTTTAAGTTCTTTTGACATAACATTCCTGCCAGCCTCATGTGGATTTTGGTTTGAAACTTCTCGGTGGCGACTTAATGGCAATTCCAGGGCTTTATGCGTTTGTCCAGGTTTTTTGGAATTCGAAAAAAAAGTTTTACCTCTGTACTCACAAAGCTGATTTCTCAGGACCTGATCAAGGATAAAGTCTCAGAAATGTACTTGTGGCCAAGAACACTGGAAATCAACGTCATAGACGATCCGAAGTAAGAATTTAATTCGGGGACATCATACATATACTTATAATTAACTCTCAGGGCGGTAAAGAAACCTGTTGGAATGCTGGAAGTCAAGGTTGTCAAGGCGATGGGCCTCAAGAAGAAAGACCTCATGGGGAAGTCTGACCCATACGTGAGGCTGGTGCTCGGTGAAGGACCCTTTGCCAAGAAGAAAACGACCGTGAAAATGAACACTCTCAATCCAGAATGGAACGAAAACTTTCACATGCTTGTTCTGGATCCAGAATCTCAAGCTCTTGAGCTATTTGTTTACGACTGGGAAAAGGTACGTGGTTCTACTACAAGCATTATAACGAACTTAAATGGGCTTGCAGATTGGATCCCATGACAAGATTGGTATGCAAGTTGTTCCATTGAAAGGCATCGTTCCTGGTGAAACAAAGACTTTGACATTGGACCTGGTTAAGAGTATGGATCCCAATGATCCAGCAAATCAGAAGCCTCGTGGTCAGCTTACAATTGAACTGACTTACAAAGCGTTCAAGGAGGATCAAGACATTCCAATCGAAGAAGAAGATGCTAATGCCGTCGAAAAAGCTCCCGAAGGTACTCCCGAAGGAGGTGGTTTGCTTGTTGTGACTCTCCATGGTGCCGAAGACTTGGAAGGCAAGCACCACACGAATCCTTATGTGAGGCTCACGTTTAGAGGCGAAACAAAGAAAACCAAGGTAAGTAGTGTCCGGTTGATTTGGTTTTTGTTCTTTCTCTGTTTTGTTCATGCGTGGTTTTTGTCAGGCTATAAAGAAGAACCGAGATCCCCGATGGGATCAAGAGTTCCAGTACCTTTTAGCGGAGCCACCAGTGGAGGACCGCTTGCGAGTGGAAGTCATAAGTAAAGCAATGGGAATTGGAGTCCATCTGCGTGTAAGTTTTTCTAGCCATGTACTTCCAGGAACAGCCTCTTAGTTACGGCAAATGCAGGAAAATCTGGGATACGCAGACATCAATCTTGCGGACGTGGTGAATAACAAGCGGATCAACGAAACTTATCAGCTGATCGACTCCAAAAACGGCAAGATTCAAGTCGAGATGGAGTGGAGAGCGAGCTGAGCCAACACAGCGGGAGACTGTTCGTGGCAGCTGCTTAAGAGGAATCAAGTCATCCGGGCGTGAGCGAGCGTAAAATAGCGAAACAATAAACAATCCATCATAATCTCTGTACAGTTTGAGCACTTTTCTGAGCTGTTGTAACTAAAGGTTTGATTGGAACTAGTCCAATGTGATGTTAAGACTTGCCACAAATTATTTTCTATAAAGCTTCCCTACTCTTTTCTGCCTTAGAGTTCACGCAAGCACACGATCCGTCAAACAAGTAGGCAGGATCATACTTGAAGCCCTTGTTCACCTTGACATCACCCACACCATTGATAGCCTTCCTCGTCTTTACACTCTGCACGTAATGATCGTCGTCCGTCTTGACTACTTTCACACCACCGCTAGCGCACACCTCGTGATCAAAGTCCTCTACCCTCATGTTGAAGCAAGATCGTTCGCATCTTCTAGACTTGTCTCCCCGGTCTTGCTCGCTCTCAAAGTTGCGTGACAGCAGCAAGTTTGTCATGCCCTCGTCATGGGCTTTCTCCTCTCCGGCACCGCTCCACTTGGGTATAGTTCCTCCAAAACGTCTCCTCGCTCATGAGCTTGGGGACGTTGTCCTCAAAGTAGCGCCGGAAGTGAGGCTTGAGCTGGTGTGGGGCGTGGGCATGTGATCGGCTGACTGCCGGAACTGGACCCTCTGCTTCTTGAACAGCCGGACGGTGATGCCATCTTGTTCGCTCGTTTCGAGCATCAGGTTTGGGATTTGCCGTGGGTGGCAGCGGACACAAGACTTTTCTACTCCACGCACCATGTTCTTCGTAGTGGTAGTCGTCGTTCCCAGCATCACTCGTTCTTCTTCATCATCAAGGCTTGCAAGACAGAATGGAATCAAGTGCTAGACAAGATGGTAGACCTGTCTCATACAATTGCTAGAAGTCCCGATGCGTTTTAGCGGCATTGCCCAGCTTGAGAGGCCATCTGTTGAAAGGTTCGAAGACCACCACCTTTTATCACCAGTGTCTGTTTTAAGAAAATTAAAAGAGCTTAAAGAAAAAAAAAATTACATGGAGATGGGAGGTATCGATCCTCCTACCTGTTATATGCGGAACAACTGCTCTACCATTTGAGCTACATCCCCTAATTGTTATAATACACATATAAACTAAACTAAGTCAAATGAAAATAGTTCGTTTATAATCAAGCTTATGTTTGATCTCTAGCCGCTCAACCAAGCATATGATCAATACACTCAAAAAAGAAAAATAAGAAAAGGAATTCATTTTTGTTTTCCTTTGCTAAGTTTCTGTCTCTGTGCTGGTTGCCATGGACGAGCCAGAGGCTAGACTAACAGATGCCAAGATGGCTACTGAGTTACCACCCGGCTGACCAGTGGCTCTTTTTCAACAATTGGACATCTACACAAAGATGGCTTAGTTTGATGCAGCCAGACATTTACTTCTGTTGCTCATGGTTTGGATATCTAAGCCATTCTAGGTAATAAAACTCTAAATCTCTTTTGATGCTCTCACATTTTCTATTCTACTTTTTGCAGCGCAAACTTTTGAAAGTGGAGAGGACAAAAGTAAGCTGCACTTAAATGTATACTACTTACCAAGTTACAAATATAGATACTTGAAGCAGAGTTTTTACGTATTGCAAGTCTCTCATAGCATCAGGGTCCAGGAATTCCACTTGATTGGAATGGATTTGAGCTTCAACTTCCTTGACGAGTTGGTTCACTTTTCTTTTAAGAGGAGAATGTAGTCATGGTTCGCATCTACTACTGTGTTCATTAAACCATCTGCTAGCGAGAGAAAAGGTTCCAAAGCGTTACTGTGGACAGATTAAAGCCTCGAGATGCAAGGATGTTGGAGGCGCTGGTGATACTCCCAAGCCAAGCATTGGCGCAGCCTTACTCTGAAACCAAGAAACACACTGACTTTCTCATATTTGCTCGCCGCCAAGTCGCCCTCGGCGCTAGAGCATCTCAATTGATCAAATATCTTGTATTTATATGAATCATTGGTAGTATTAAGTGTCTCAACAGGCTGGTGTTTTCCTTTGTGCACAGATAAAATTGCTGCACTAATTTGAATTTTATATAAGAAGTTGAATACTTTTTAACCTCTTGGCTCAACATGTTTCTATAGCTCTCTATGATGCAAATTTAACAAGTCGGAGGAGACCGAAGAGGCAAGTGTTCCTCCTTTTCTTGCATTTGAGTGATGAAATTTTAGGCTGGCATAGATGATAGGTGATACTGAAGATCTCACCCACTATTGCTTCTGGTGATCAAAACTGGTCTGGAACTGGCAGGATGACAAGAGAGAGAGAGGCTGTGGAAGCTCTTGATCTACTATGTACAGAGAAGTTGGAGGCTCTTCTGAGGTTAACACATTGAAAAGAGCTATGGTTGCTTTTAACAAATACAAGATCATGAAGAGGAAGTTGAGGCGATTTCTCAGCGAGATGCTAAGGAACAATGACATCGAGTGGCTACAAAAGGCGGATGCTGAAGGTTTTCCCCTCAACTCCTTAACCTCGTATGATCAACCTTGAACGTGGAACAATTAGTCTAGAAAGCGTAGAACTTTTAAAAGTGTAATTGACCATTGTTGAACATTCAGCTGACTCAAGCTTGACTCCTCCGTCACAACCATGGTTGACTGTTATATCAGTGGCTCAAATTTGACAAGCACTAGTCAACCTTAGTTGACTATCTTCAGAAGACCCCCTGTGGATAAAAACAGTGTAGAAAGTTCTTTCTTTTACCTTTGTGTACGAGAGTTGTGTCACTCCACCGATTGGGGTGCCGCAAAATCAAATGAGGATTGTATGATTCGTGCCAAGACATTGATCCTTGTTTTAACATTTGCAAGATTTTAATCGATGCAATGCAATGCAATGGAAGTGACATACCTTCTTCACCTCTTTCTCCGCGTTCCTACCGTATACACATGTTTATAGTAACCCTAATTGACGAACATAGAATATTCACTTATGCATCTCTGCATTTCCTGCTTCTGGTTCTTGGTCTTGATGATCACGTAGGAAGCAGGATCAGCATCATGATCATCGGCAGCAAAGTAGACGGTCTTGACAATCCACTTCATGAAAACATTAGGGCTGTTGTCACTGTCCAGGGAAATAATCGTTGGGAGCGTTCTGGTTCGGCTGAAAGTTTCTGTATATGTGGCCTACTTCCAAAATAACAACAAAGAAAACGCTAACGATTGTCCGTATGTACAGAAATACATTGTTGAAAAATAATGACGAACAAAAACAAAAGAAAGCCAAGTGAACATCATCATCATCAATTAGTCAATCAAACAAACCAAATAAGTAAACAAACCTGGGATCGTGAACAAAACCAGCCAAGCTGAATATTCTACGTCGTAAAGCGTGATAATATTCCGTCAAGTGACCGTGGAGCGTGAGAAATCGCGGTCGTACGGACATTCGCGAGCGAGGGAAAGAGAGGAAGAGCTAGACGAAAGAGAGGGAGAGACAGAGGAAAGAAGGAGCGAGCCGGCAATGGCGAGGAGGAAGAATCGGAGGTGTTCGCCGTCAGCCGATGATCGCGATGCTGCTCCCGCCGCCGCCGCTCCTCCTCCTTCTCCTCCTACTCCACCTCCGCCTGGAAATTCCTCTCCGCTGGTGTCGCTCGAGATGGAATCCAGCACAATGCAGGAGATCACGCGCGTCGTGGGGAGGATCGTCGTCGACAAGCCAGCTATCCAAGAAGCGGAGGCGCCGCAGCCGAAGAAAGATCCACCCGGAGAGCCGCAGAAGCAGCAAAATGCACAGATTTCGCAGCCGATCCATCGATCTTCGCAGCCGGCGGATGGATCCGGCGGGACGAATCTTGCCGCGGCTATGCATGGCGCTCCATCGCGGGCATTGCTTGTCTCTGGGATCCCGCAGCACATCGTCGACCCTCTGGTGATGCAAGATCTGGAATCTTGGGGTCCCATTCGATCTTTCTTCCTCGGCGCTCGAGCGCAAGGCTGTATTACGGTCTACTACTACGATCTTCGCCACGCGCAGGACGCGCTTCTCTCCATCCGGTCGCAGTACTTCTTCCAGCAGTGTAATCCGGCTCGTTTCGCGCAGCATTCTTACCAGAATCCCCAGAATCACCAGGCTTTGGCTGGCCCCTCGCAGCCGCCACAGCAATCTTGCGGCCCAAAGCCATACGAGCCGGTGAAACACGAGCTGGCCAACATCGGATTTGTCACCGAGGATCATCTCCATCGCCAGCAGCAGCAGCAGCCCGAGACGATCCCTCCTTCGGCTTCCAAGTTTTCTCCCTTTGCGATTCCCTTCGTCAGCGATCTCAGCTACAGCGAGGGACGCGGATTGATCGGCGGATACCCAGCATGGGCGGAGTTCGTCACTATCTCTCCCTCGTATCCCTTGATCGATTCGCCCAACCAGGGGACCTTGGTCGTGTTCTATCTCCGGATGAACATTACTCACGCCGAACTCGCAAGTATCTTCAAGCAATACGGTAAGCCCATGCATTTTCAAGAATTTGAGCATAGAACTAGACCATCGCACTGAATTGCTTCCAAGACTGTAGCTTCATGTTAGTCCAGTTTTGATTTGAGTTTATGCATGAATTCTTTGTGGCTTGAGTGATTGTTTTTGTGTGTCTAGTTTGGTATTAGTCCAGGTTTGCTCGCGGATTTGCTTTGGATGGTTTTACGTGATTGTTTTTGTGTGTGTCTAGTTTGGTTTGCTCGCGGATTTGCCTGATATCATAGTGGATTCTTGGATAGCTTATGTATGAATTCTCTTGTAGTTTCTTCGCCAACTATAGTTCTAGTCTAGCGAAAGCCTCTATTCTAAAGTTTTCAATCTTCTTTTAACGCAGGTGACGTGAGAGAAATCCGCGAAGCCCCCAGCAGGAGGAGCAGATTCGTGGAGTTTTACGACATACGGGACGCTGCCCGGGCCAAGGAAGCTCTGGACGGGGTCGAGGTATTGGGACGGCGGATTAAGATCGAATTTAGCAGGCCGTGTCAACCAAGGAACTCCTACAACACCACCCCGGCCTTATATCCTTCCTTCGTCCCGTACTACCCGTACTACTACAACGCAAGCTCCGCCACGCCACCGTACCACCAGCACGATCAAACTGCTGAAACGGCATACTACACGTACGGCCCCTCCCCGCAATACGATCACGCCGCCAACACCAGCACTGCAGCAGACACCGCCTACAATTTTGGAAGAGCCGCCGCATTCCACTATTATGTTCCAGGGGCATACAACCTTAGTTACGCTCTCGGTACCGGGTACTATGGCTATCCAAACTACAGCCACCACCACTACCAGCAGCAACAGCTTTACGGATATTACAACCAGCAGCAGCAGCCGCAACAGCAGCAGTACTCCCGGACGTACGCTAGCGCTCCCCCACTGTTGCCGTCACCACGGTTTAACGCGAGCGTACCTCGTGGATATGGTCGGGCTGGACCAGCGGCGGCCTCGGTCACCACCAGGCGGCGCTTTGAGATCAGCGCTTACAATCAGCAGCAGGCAGCGTCGGTCAGAACCCGGGACGAGAGCGCTGCCAGTGCCAGTGGCAACCTTGGCGATGGCAGAGGCTGCATTGTCAGCTTTTCTTCGGAGCGCATCTACGAAGAATCCAAGTGGACTGGTAGGAAGCACAGGGTGGTGAGAAGGATCGCAAGGGACGAGTCTCAGTACGTTTTCAACACGGGGGAGGACGAGGAAAGCGGACGTACCACGCTGATGATCAGGAACATTCCCAATAAATACAGGTAGACTTGGTCGGATATATGCTTTCTGATCGTTAGCATTTCACCTCTTTTCTTTTGTTGTAGCCTCCGCATAGTGATTCGGGTGCTGGACCAGCACTGTATCACCTACAACAATGGCCTGGGAGAGGACGAAAAGGTTTCTGCTTACGACTTTGTTTATCTCCCTGTGGATTTCATGTAAGCCACGAAACCTTTACGCTTGCTTTCTTTTCCTTCATATCGATTACTGTCGTCAGCTATGATCAATTAATACTGGAGCTATGCGCACGCAGGAACAGATCCAACCTTGGATACGCCTTCGTTAATTTCACCACGGTGGTGGCAACCAAAAGGCTGCACAAAGACTTCCACGGCCGACGCTGGGAGGAATTCAAGTCCCGGAAAGTCTGTCAGGTTGCTTATGCCCGGCTCCAGGCGAGTAAAACTCTAGAACCAAACGATCTCGGTTAGCTGATCTTGTAAACATTGTTTTGCTACAGGGCCGAGAACAACTAGAGGAGCACTTCAAGAACTCCCGATTTGCCTGTGACACCGACGAGTACTTGCCGCTGGTGTTTAGTCCTCCAAGGACGGGCTTGCAGTGTTCTTCGCCAACGGTGGTGTCCTCCTTGGCCGCGAGAAAGGCCGGGGGCAAGCGTCTGGAGATTAAGTCACTCGATAATGCATTGCCGACTCCAGATCCATCGCAGGAGGCGACCGAAGCGCCACAGACAAGCATTGATCTCGAGTCGGGATCCGAGCAGCCGTGGGAGGGCGATCAGATTGACGACGACGACGACGAGAACTTTGAGTCTGAGGATCTGGAAGAAGAGCTGGACGAAGACGATGACGATGGTGGATCCTCGCAGGATAATGACGAAGATGGAGAAGGCAACCAGTGAGAGTGGTGAGCGCTCTCTGGAAGAAGTTAACGCCAATGGAATAAACATTCTTCATTCCAGATTTTAGGGTTCTTGGCAGAATGAACGGGAGAACGCGCGGGAGCTCTCGGCCGGGATCAGCAGCCGCCGCGGTGCGCGCCTCCCACACGCCGATCAGGCCGCCGGCGGTGACGTGCCGGGAGCGCGTCCAGGTTGTGGTGCGATGCCGTCCAATGTCGCATCAGGAGGTCATGGATGGGCGCCAATGCTGCATTGTCGTTGATCAGCAGGAGAAAACCATAGAGGTGAGTGCTTGGATTGTCAGATTCCATCGAAATATTTTGGGAATTTGGAGTCTCTGCTTCTCCATTGACACGGTTTCTTGTGTTTAGGTGTCTGGCGATGGGAGGAGAGGCAGCAGCAACGATTCCAACATCAAAGTCTTTACATTCGATCGTGTGTATGATTCCAAGTGCACACAAAACCAGCTCTACCAGGAAGTGGCTCATCCGATCGTCCAGAGCGTCATGCACGGCTACAATGGAACCGTGTTGGCTTATGGCCAGACGGCCTCCGGAAAAACATACACTATGGAAGGATTTGATGACTCTCCAGGTAACAAACTTTCACTAGCTCCAGAGGTTGGGCATAGATCATAGCTTAGAAAAAAATCTAGTAGCTTTTCTATAGCATATACCAGTTCTAACTGCGAATTTTCCTAGTGGTACAGAGTTACGTGGTATTATTCCTCACGCGTTTGAGGAAATTTTTTCTCACATATCTCAAAGCCAGAGTTCCGATCGTTTTCTCGTGAGAGCCTCCTACCTGGAGATTTACAACGAAGAAATCCGGGATCTCTTGGCACCAAGTAGTTCGCCAGGGACGAGACTGGAGCTGAAAGAGAGCCCGGACGCGGGTGTTTACGTGAGGAATCTCACTTGCCTGACCGTGCATAGCCTCTCGGACATCATTCGACTGCTGATGGTGGCTATTTCATCTTTAATCCATTCTTTCTAAGTCACAGTAAGAACGGCAAGCTTGGTAAGATGGTTTTTGTTATTCTGGCTCTTGCTCAATGTTGGTTAGTAGCTTACAGGTTGGGAAAAAGAACCGATCTGTCGGGGCAACTCTTATGAACCAAGACTCGTCGCGTTCGCATTCCATATTCACCATAACTGTGGAGACTAGTGTGGAGGATCCAGAAACTGGCTTGCACATACGAGTTGGGAAACTAAACCTGGTATGCACGTTGAAGATTTCGTTTTCTCATCTTTAGGATTAACAACGCTCATTCAGGTCGATCTTGCTGGTAGTGAAAGAATGAGCAAAACTGGAGCTACTGGGGATAGATTGAAAGAGCTCACCAACATAAATTGGTCTCTTACAGCTCTTGGAAATGTCATCTCGGCCCTGGTTGATGGAAGGAGTACGCACATTCCCTACCGTGATTCGAAGCTGACCAGGCTCTTGCAAGACTCACTCGGTGGGAATACAAGGACTGTCATGGTGGCAAACATTGGACCTGCTGATTATAACTATGAAGAGTCCGTCAGCACACTACGGTATGCCAATCGTGCAAAGAGCATTAAGAACAAACCGCGTATCAACGAGGATCCAAAGGACGCGTTGCTGCGGGAGTTCCAGGCTGAAATTATCAGGTTCATTGGCTTGATATATGTTCTCAAGCTTATGAACTCTGAAAATTGCGTTAACAGGTTAAAAGCGCAGCTTAGTGGCGATGCTGTTAACGATTTGACCAAGGAAATCTGTACGCTAAAGAACGAGAAAGAAATGGTGGAAAAGAACTTGAGAAACTTGAGGCAGCAAGCTGGAGTTGATCCTTACCTGTGCCAGTCATTCAGTGAACAAGCCATTGCATACATTAAAGCGGATTTAGAGAAAAAGGTAAGCCTCGTCAAAAAACACGCAATGTTGGTCTGAAAGGTCCGTCTTTTGCAGGCGCATTTCGAAATTGAGTGCTTGCGAGCAGAAAAGGAGCGTTCAGACGAAGAGAAGCAGAAACTGACGGAGCAGCTGCTCAAGCAGTTGAAGGACATGCAACCCCATTATGAGGTATGTGGAATGAAACATGGTTGTTTTTATTAAGCTATTGTTTCTCTTGTGCAGTCGTTTGCCAAGGAAAAAGAAGACCGTGATTTCCTAACTAATAAGCTGAGAGCTTTGGAGGACAAAGTTTTGCATGGTTCCAACAACGATAACGAGAAGCTGGTGGAGAAAGCAAAGCAGCAGGAGGAAGAGCTTGCTCTTTACCAGCATCATATCCAAGAACGGCAGCAACTGGATGAAGAGCGCCAGCGGAAGATAGCAGAGCTTGAGGTAAAAAAGGAAACACGCTTTTGCATTTTCCACTCACTTACGTCGCGTGTGACAGGACGCACAACTGATGGCCGAGGTGAAGTGCAGCACAATGGAGGAAGAGTTGGAAATGAAAACTACCAAATTTCGAAAGCTGATGGCGTGTTACCAGCAGAGCAAAGCCGACTTAGCCTCGTTGCGGACGGAGCTGCAGGACACAATCCACGAGTTTCATCGGGAGCGCACCGATTTGCTTCTCAGTTTGCGCTCGCTGGAGCAGCAACATCAGCTCAAGTCTTTAGTGATCGAGGTAAAAAGACAATGAGCTCAAACGATTCTGATTCTTGTTTCTCTTTTTCTTTATACAGAAGTTTATTCCGTCCGAGGAGCTGGCTAAGATCATGAAGAGAGTGGAGTGGGACGACGAGACGGAAAGATGGGTGTTCCAGAGCATGGTGGCTAATTTCCAGTCGGGTATAAGTCCGTTCATCGTGGATCCAGCTAACAAGCAGCCACTTCAAAGGCCGGCATCAGCCGTGGGAAGGAGTAGACCGCCAGGATCCAGATACCAGTAAGCTTCTAAGCAACTTTGTTCTTGCAAAGTTCTTACACGCTCTCTCTTCCCAGGATGGACAACGTGCTCAAGATTGGCTTGGACATTCCAAAGCACACTCTCTACGATTACGAGAATCACCTCGACCGCGCACAGGCTCAAGCTCACATCATGCAAGCTTTCTCCCCGAACTTTGGCGAAGACGACGACCCATACCTGTCATACGAGCAAAAGACAGGAGCGGCAAAGCCTCTTCGCCCAAGAACAGCAAACAGATAAGGGATAAAAAGAAGAAGCGTCAAAACTCTGGGACGAGATTACAAAATTTCTGGCCGAGGAACTAGCAAACAGATGAAGGATAGAAAGAAGCTTTCGCTCGTTCAAAACTCTGGGACGAGTTCACAAAATTTCTCAACGATCGGCCGAGTAACTAGCTGCACTACTTACTCTCGAAGTGGAGCACTCACGGCTTACTTTGCAAGCTGAAGCCACCGGGCTCTCCATCGCTCATCTCGGCAAAGCGGCTCGGTCCTTCGCTGATTCTCGGGGAGCTTACTTTCTCTTTGGATGCGCTCTTGCTCTTGAGGAGGCCGGCTGGAGTGGCCTGGTAGTTGTTCACGATGCCTTTGTAGAGACTGAACGCGGTCGCCAGCATGCTCGACGGGTCACCGACATTGTTTGGCAAAAGCATGGTTGTCCCCTGTGACAAAGTATAGATAAACAAGCTATCAAATGAAAACGAGATCGTTTTACCTCTTTGGCGATCTTCCCAAACTCTCTCAAGTAGTGCTCGGCAACTCGGAGTGACACGGCCTGCAATAGCATCGCGAGTTTGGTAGGAGAACACGAAGGATAAAAAGAGAGAAGAAACTGGATGGTTTTACCTCAGCGCCGCCAGCGGCGGTGATAGCAGCAGCAAGCGTTTGAATGGCTGCAGCCTCTCCTTGGGACTCTAGAATCTTGGCATTCCTCACACCATCGGCTCTGTTGATATTGGATTGCATTTCACCTGCATGAGGAAAGAAAAGAGAGAGGAAGTTAAGTTCTTGGTTGTGAGTGCTTCGTACCTTCAGACTCCAGAATTTGCGCCCTCTTCCTACGCTCGGCCTCGGCTTGCATTTCCATTGCCGCTTTTATGCCGGGAGGAGGTGAGATGTCCCCTACAAAAGCCAGGATGGAAATAAAATCACTGGGATGCTCTCAAACTCACTGATCTCGTAGCGAAGACACTCCAGGCCCCAGTCGTTAGCAGCGAGATTGATCGATTTCTGCAATGGAAAACAAAACAATAAAAAGTGGTAACTTGAAAGCATGTTCATTCACTCACCACAATATTTTCATTCAGCGCGGCTCGCTCTTCGAAGGTCTTGTCCAGTGTCAGCTTCCCGAGCTCGCTCCTCATTGTCGTCTGCGCAAGCTGGACGACCGTGGAGACAACGTTCCCGACGCCATACGACGCCTTCTTCGGGTCCACGATCTGCCAATCCAAAGCGCCAAACCATTAGAACAATAGACAATCTTAAAACACTGAAAACTCTCAAAAGCAGAACGAAAGAAAGAAATAGCCATTGTCCATACACATGGCAAAGGAAAACCAGGAAAAGAAGAGCTTAACTCTCCAAAGAACGACGAAAGCTCTAAAAAAGAAAACAAAATCGAAGAGAAGACTCATGCTACAAGAAGAAAGAAGAACGAGAAGTACTTGCCTTGATGTAGAGCACTCCATCCACACTGATGCTCACATTGTCACGGGTCACCGCGGTCTGGTGGTAGATCGGGATGGCCTCCTCTTTGAGCGAGTGGACGTACGCAATGCGATCCACCAGAGGTATCATGATGTGAAACCCAGACTCCAGTGTCTTCAAGTATCTCCCAAATCGCTCCACAACGTAGGCTTTCTTCTCTGGAACGATCCGGATGCCCCAGTTCGTCGGAGGCCTGCTCGCAAACCTTTTGCATTATAGTAGAAGAGATGATCTTCCAAGAAAGCAATGCGGGGAAAATACCTCATATCATCGGAGTACCTCTCATTGCTCAAATTCCTGCGCGACAGAGAGAGCTAAGCGCAAGAAACGATCCAGCGGGACGACAGGATCTTACCTGACAGAGATGGCGCGCGGGGTGACTTTGCGGAGCTCGCCCAGGCGCATCAGCGACCGTCTTGCCGCCATAGCCATGCCCTAAGTGTGTGTAAGTCGCATTACATGCTAGCCTCCTTAAGTACTCTTTAAAATTTTCTTTGCCGCGAAGACAGCCTACTGAGGCCTGCCGAGAGGAATTCCTTCGATGTAAAGCCATCGCTTGGTTCCTTCCGGATCCTCGCTGCGAACAAAGCGGCTCCTCTCCAGCAAAAACTTATTGATGCGATCGTTCGCGCGGCTTCCTCTGGCAAGAGTGTATGTCACCTTGAATGAAACGAGTGCCTGCAAATTGGATTGGAGAGCCATTCTTCTTTTTAGAGACTCTGCTTACCTCGTCCTCGCTCTCGGTTTGGAAATCCAGGATCTCCAAGCGCTTGAACTTGAGCTTTCGACAGGTTGCTTCTACGTCCGCTAGAAGCCTGGCCTCTCCACCTGAAAGAAAGAAAGAACATCACGAGCTACGATCTTTCTTTCTCGAGAATGGTCTATCGTCAAACCTTGAAAGCATGCGTTTTCCTTGTGGGTTGTCTTCACGACGTAGTCGGAGTTTCCTCGTGCATAAGCACTGAATCTCGCCTCTGGAAAAACTAGTAAAACCACTGGAAAAACAAAGTGAAGACGAACTTACTCATCACAGCCAGCGCATCCGGTTCCGCTCCTCCTTCGTGAAGAACACCACAGCAGGACTCGTAGCTCTTCCTCAGTTCTCCTCCACCGCACGGGCAAACACTTTGGTTTTCCTTCTCGTCTTCGACTTGAGCGCCGCCCTCTTCTTTCTCTGCCGCAGCCTGTTCGTCCGTTTTACCCCTCCGGCTTCTCTGGAGAAGCTCCTTGAACCCCCTGCTCGCTCTTGCCTCAAAACTTGGACGTGGCCTCGTCTTCCAGCTGAATTGCAAAGAATCTCGAGTGGATAAGCAGACACCATTTGCGGGAACCGGGGAACTCTTCAGCATTGCTCGAGGTAAGCTCAATGCCATTCAGTGACAATGGCCTCCCTTAGGAGAAAAACTCAATGCTCGAGAAGAAAGTTCTTGCCTCGGATTTGAGCGAAATCTTTCTCTCGGGTCTGCTCAGGCACCCAAGTTAGTACAAATGGAAAAGCAAAACTCGGGAGGATTACCTCTCAATAAAACTTCTGCGAGGAGTCGACTTTGGACGTGAGAGCGTAGCGCTCTCACGTCACAGATCCCGTAGCCGCGGCTTTTGCTGCTTTCATCTTTCGCAATCTCTCTTGCCACGAATCTTTTTGCATTGCAATGACCTACATTATGCGTGAGCACAGGAATAGGCAATGAAAAACACAAACCTCTTCACTCAGAAGATCACTCGCCTTCTTCTCGTGATTCTTCTCGACGTGAGAACTTGGGGCTTGTTGTTCCTCCTCTTTTGGAACCGATCCGGAGCCAAACATAGCAGCGTCGTGAGCAGCCTCGGTCCGCTTCTCCCTTGTGAGCTGTGGCGAATTCACGAGTAAACACTTCTGGCTCGATAAACTCTCGTCCATACCTGGCTAGAGTATGAAAGATACGATCCAGCAGTGTTCCTTAGCGAAGAAGTATCGTCCGGACCAGCACCTACATGAAGCAAAAACATTTTCTAGCGAGTATAGCATCACAAGAGAGAGTGCTTACTGCTACTTCTGGGATTGGAGTCTTCTTCCTCCTCGTCCAAAGGAGCACTCTTATCAAAATCAAAGCGCTCCCAGTTCTTGGTGTCTTTGTCTTTGGCCGCTAAAAAACGAAAGAACTCTCTTTAGAGAGTTTTTATCAAAGATGAAACTAGAAAGCACGAGAAGCACACCTGTTTGGGAGAGCTGGAAGTTCATCCTTGCCTTCACTCTTTCAGCTGGAGTCTAGACAAACAAACAAAAAAAAAACAAAAAACGAAGGAATTCATCCAAAACATTTTAATACCGTCAACATACCATTCGATCGTAGTCTGGAATGAGCTCTTCGCTTCTCGAGGCTTTCCCAGATCTGGAACGCTTGGCATTCTCCGGGGGGCTCTTGCTCCTCCTGCTGGACTTCTTGCCGCCGCGATCTGGTTTGCCAGCGCCGGCAAATCCCACTCCCGCCCTGGACGATCGTCCGCGCTCCATAGGGTTTCTCCTCTCGCAGATTTAGGGTTCCTGGTCTGTGATGTGCTGCTTGAAGAAGCAGCAAAGGAAGGCATTCTCCAATCTCCTCAAAGCGTGCATCGATTCCCGGGATTTCTCCCGGGGCCGCAAGCTCCACGGGCAGATCCTCGCCAGCGGCTGCTCCGGCGACACCCACCTCGCCAATCTCCTCCTCACAATGTACCGCCGCTGCCGCAGCCTCGACGACGCGCGCGCCGTCTTTGATTCCATCCCGGAGCCCTCGACATGTCACTGGAACATCATCATCGCGGCGTGCATCGAGAGTGGCGACCTGGATCTCGCGGGCAGCCTCTACGAGCGGATGCCCTACCGGGATCTTGTCACGCAAAACACGCTGCTTCAGGCATTTGCCCACATGGGGGATCTGGATCGTACGAAGAGGTTCTTCGATCGAGGCCACAACAAGGACGTGATCTCCTGGAACATCATGATCAAGGCCTTTGGCCAAAGAGGGCAGTGTCTCTCCGCCAGAGAGTTCTTTCAACGCATGCCCCAGAGGAGCGTAGTGTCCTGGACGACGCTCCTCGCAGCAAATGCCGCTTTTGGGCATTTGGAAAATGCCGAAAGAATCTTTGATTCCATGCCGGAGCGAGACGCCATCACTTGCAATGCGATGCTCCACACGCGCGCGGACAGGATCGATCTTTGCCGGGAGTTCTTCCGCCACAAGATGACCCACAGGGATCCAATCAGCTGGAACACGCTCATCGCGGTGCTGGCGAGTGCGGGGCACTTCCTCGAGGCCCGGGGCGCGTTCGATCGGATGCCGCGCACCAACCTGGGCGCCTGGAACGAGATGATATCGATCTTCTCCAGGAACTCGCAGCTCCAGGAGGCGATTCAAGCCTTCGCCAAGATGCCGGAGAGGGACGTTCTCTCGTGGAACTCCATCGTCCAGGCCTACGCGCTCAATGGGCACCTGGATGAGATCGGTGGCGCGCTGGAGAGAATGCCACAGTGGGGTGCCGCGAGCTGGAATTCCTTGCTCCAGGCACTGGTGGAGCACCGGCAATTCGATCTCGCCACCATGCTCTTCCACGGGATGACGCACAAGAGCGTCGTGTCGTGGACGTGTATGATCCCAGCACAGGAAGGACAAGAAAAGAGAGGCTCTCTTCCGGAAAATCGCCAAGAACACGACGATCCAAGCGCAAGCTCACCGGACAAGGAGAAGATCTTCTTCGACAAGATGCCGGCTTGGAACTCGGTGTCTTGGAACACACTCATGAAAACCTACGCTGAGTCTTCGAATTTGGATAGAGCAAGAGAGTGTTTCTATCTCATGCCAGATCCAAACTTGGTAACATGGAACCTCATGACGGCAGCATATGCCCAGTCTGGGCATTTGCGGGAGATGGAAGAGTTCTTCCGGCTCATGAATCTCAATGGGGTTCCTCCAAACGAGAAAACGTTCACAAGCATGATTGGTGGGTGCGGCAGCTGCGGGAAAATCAAGGACGCCCAGCAGTTTTTCATCGCAATGACAATGGACTTCGGTCTCTCGCCGGATCCAATCGAGTATCGCTGCATGGTGGACGTGCTTGGCCGCCGGAGTTTCTTGAAGGAGATGGAGGATCTCGTCCGAAATATGCCATTCCATCCGCCAACCGAGGCTTTGCTTGCGGCGGAGAGCTACTGCCGGATTCATGCTGTGAATTCGTAGCGGGCTCTTCTATCGAAGGAAAATCAAGAGAATTGTCTCTCGAATTCCAGCGAAGATTCAAATTCCGAGATAACGGTTTTTACATGAACAGCAAATGCCCATATACTACGCATCTCTGCTGGAACTCTAGTTCTTGACAAGCTTGACCTTGTCAATCTTGAGAAGTTTCACGAAGAACCAGTCTCTCACCCATGCCGGCGCGTAGAACATCGACCAGAGCAACGGGACGAAGTGGCCATAACCGAAGTAGCTCGGGGGCTTGCCATCCAGGATCTTGCTCGCCACGGCTCTCGCAAACTCGGGCGCTGGAGTGGACTTGGGGCCCTGCGAGAGCATCCCGCGGTACTCGATGGATTCCTGGAATGGCTTGTAGATCTTGAGGTCGTAACTCAGGCCTGTGGAGAGCGCAGCCTTGCCGATGTTCGAAACGATCGCTCCGGGAGTGACGAGGATCACGTCGATGTTGAATGGTCGCAGCTCCACTCTAGAAGAAGAAGGAAAGTTCCAAGCGATCACAGCTATGCGTGATCATAGCTCTCCAAACAGTTTGGAGAGCTATGATCTTCGAGAGAGACTTGGAAGAAAGCCCACCTTAGAGAGTCAGTTAATGCGTGGAGGGCTGCTTTGGAGGAAGTGTAGCCAGCCATCCAAGGGCCAGAAGCGTACGCACCGATGCTACCGACGTTCACGATCCTTCCTCTTCCTTGTTTCACCATGAAAGGAACCACCTTTTGGATCAAAGACACAGTTCCTGGGAAAAAATTTGCTCAAAACCGAGTCTCTCGATCGATCTCTAGGCCTCGCTCGAAAGGAATTTCGATCCAGAGAGGAACTTACCAAAGACATTGGTTCTATACGCTCTCTCCAGCATCTCCAAGGGGATCTCCGCGATCGGCCCCAGGCAAGGAACGCCCGCATTGTTGATGAGCACATCGATCTTCCCAAATCTCTGGATCGTCGACTCCACCGCCCGGGACATGGAGTCCTCGTCCAGCACATCCAGCGTAATGCAGCTGATGGAGCTGGGCTGCTGCTGCTCCAGCCCCCGGATCGATGCGAGCGAACGCGCCGACGCCACAACCGTGCACCCCCGGCTGCCCAATTCCGCTGCCAGCGCGTGCCCGATCCCTCCCTCGGAGCATCCGGTGATCAGGACTACCAGATCCTTAGGCGCTAGGCGGGATCCGCCCAAACCCATCGCGATCCTCGTGCCCAAGAACCCTAAAACAGGACGAAAAACCCTAATAACAGGAAGAGCCCTAAAACAGGGCCAGCACATACGGCGACGATTTCTCCGGCCGGAGCGCTCGCATTTGCTTCGCGGCATCCCTGGCGCGCTCTCGGTCGCTATCGCTCCGACAGGCATCCAGAAGCCCCGTCCAGGAGACGTAATCCGGCTCGAATGGCATGCTCTGGACGAGCTCCTCCGCCTCGGCGACGCGGCCTCCGCGGCCCAGGAGATCCGCGACGCAGGCGAAGTGCTCCACGCCCTGGGTGATCTCAAAATCGGCGCCCATACCGACGAATTCCATCCACGCCTCGCGCAGCAGCCCCGCGTGGCCACACGCCCACAGGATCGACGTGAAGCTCGCGGAATCGGGCGCGATCCCTTCGATCCTCATCTCGCGCGCAAAGAAGAGTGCGTCGAGCGATCGCCCATTCTGCGCGTGGCCCGCGATCATGGCATTGAAGGAGATGGTGTCGCGGGTGGGCATCGCGCGGAATACCGATTGCGCGAGCTCCAGATCCCCGAGCTTGGAGTAGAAGCTCAAGATCGCATTGCCCACGAGGAGCGATTGTGGGAACTCCGCCGCCATTGCCGCAACCATTCCCGCGCTGGAATTCCTGGAGATGGAGGAGATAGATTGGAGGAGAGTGACGACTGTCACCTCGTTTGGCCGCTCGCCCTCCAGATTCATGGATCGAAACGCGCGCACCGCCTCTTTGGAATGCCCATTCCGGGCATACGCCGCCATGAGCGCCGTCCACGACACCACATTTTTTCTCGGCATCGCCAAGAAGATGCTTTCCACTCGATCGATCTGCGAGAATCGGCCGAGAGCGACGATCAACGCGTTCCCAATCTTGGGCGATTCATCGCCATCGCCATAGTCTCTCTCCCAATCTCCCAGACGCGATTGGATCATTCTCACGTCCCTGCCGCTGGAGCAAACATCCAGAACTGTGACGAAGGAGACCTCGTTTGGAGCGATGCCGTCGAGCTCCATGGATTGAAACGTATAACGTGCTCTAGCAGGATGCCCTGTCTGGGCATATCCAGACACCATAGTGTTCCAGCTAGTCACGTCTCTAGCTTCCATTTTCTGGAACAATCCTTCCGCGCTAGCCATTTTCTTAAACCTCGTGTAAGCAGCGAGCATAGCATTGTAGCAAATCACGCTGGGATTTTGTATCATATCAAAGAAACCTCTCGCTTGAAAAATATGCCCATTCTCGGCATATGCTACAAGCATCATTGTAAAGGAGAAGGCATTTGGGGTCGCGATGGTATCAAACACAAGCCGTGCGTCTTGGGCAGAGCCACATTTCCCGTACATTTGGAGCAGGGTATTGGCCATGAAACGGTCCTCTTCGTAGCCCGTACGGGCAATGGATCCATGGGCTTGCCTTCCTCGCGGCAAATGGCTTTGTGTGCCAGCCTTGTCGAGCGTGGCTGCCCATTGTCGCTTGAAGCTCTGGGGGGCAGTCCGGGAGAATCCATGCATCCAACCTGACCTAAATATTGGGGTGGTTCCTTTTCAAATTTCGCAGCATATGCCGAGAGTGGGCATCTTTCTAGGTTTTGAATATAGAATATATTTGTTTTGATGGTATATTCTTAGAGTATAAGGCATATCCTAAAAAGCTTGACGTTTTCTTCGAGGACTTGTCGGTGGGACACATAAAATAGTGCTGTTCTCCTCACTCTCTAGTCTCGCACTTCCGGCCATGGCGAGCTTTGAAGTGCAAGAGCGCCAAGTCTCAATGATCTCTCCCGAGAAGAAACTGGAAGATGCCCACTACTCCAAGCTTCCATTCACGACTTTCGACATAATGCAAAAGAGAAGCAGCATGCCTTACCTCCAGCGCGTTTGCTTCTTCGAATCCAAAGGCGGTAGCAGTAGCAGTAACGAGAGCTTGATTGAGAGGATGAAGGCGAGCTTGGCCAAAGTCCTGGTAGATTTCTATCCCTTAGCTGGAAGGCTAGAGATAAAAAACGAGGGAGACAGACCTGTGATCTCTTGCAGCGGAGCCGGCGTTGAGTTCTGCGTCGCTGATGCAAACGTCTCCCTGGAGGAGCTCGATTACTCCCAGCCCCGGCCGTGGTTCTCCAAGCTGATCAAAAGAGGAAACTATGAGTTTAGTGGCTTGTCGACCAACATACCTTTCATCACTATCCAGGTAAAGATCCCGCAAAAAGACTTTTTTCTCGCGTTTGATCTCGTGAAGAACAGGTGACCGAGTTTCGCTGCGGAGGCGTGTGTGTTGCTTGGTCGTATGATCATCTCGTCATGGACGGCAGCTCGCAGTGGCAATTCATGTGTTCCTGGTCCGAGATCTGTCGAGGCCTTCCCATCTCCAGGCCTCCAACTCACGACCGGTTTTTCGAGCAGCAGCACGAGCAGTTCTCCAGCATAACCCCGACCAGTTCCCTTTCATGTGTCTTCGAGGACGTTTCCACTGGCATGGAGGCCAAGATCTTCGAGTTCGATGACGAGACTATCGAGAGGCTTAAGTTCTTGGCGTCGGGTCGTTTCTCAGCGTTCGAGGTCGTGGCGTCACAGGTCTGGATAGCACTTTGCAAGGCTCGCGATCTTCCAGCGTCTCAGAAAACCAGCCATCAGCTTCCACTCAACTGTAGAAGCCGGCTGAGCACTCCTCTCCCGGCGGGCTACTTTGGAAACTGTGTGCTCTGTGCGTTGGCCGAGTCCACAGCCGGGGAACTTGTGACTGGAGGGCTTCCATTCACGGCAGCTGTTGTCCACGAGGCAATCACGAGTTTCAAGAAGGATGAGATCCGCTCGGCAATTGCCATCTACAACGAAGACACCAAAGGGACTAGCCCGTTCAGCAAAGGCGTGACAGATGGTGTGGATACCTGGGGTGGCAGCTCTCCAAGATTTCCAATGTATAGTCTGGACTTTGGATGGGGGAAACCAGCCGCTGTTCGACACGCTACGAAGCTGTGGAACGGCTTCTGCTTCTACGACCCGTCACCGAGAGGTGGTAAAGCCATTGAAGCCACGGTGTACCTTTCTCCTGAAACAATGGCGAAGTTCAGTGAGGAAGTCAAGACGAATTAATCCTGTGTACCACCTTACGTGTTATATCCAAAGTCCGTCGTCTCGTCTGCTTGTGTGACATGACTTGACTCCAATCAATCCGTGCCTGCTGTTTAGAATATAATATCCCCGAGCCTCTAGGAGTCCGTGCTGTTTCTGTGCTGCTTTGCTTGTCACTGCGAGTTCGGGCTTGGATCTCCGACGGGATGAAGATGAAAATGGACGACTTTCAAGTGAAAATCACCGAGGTACATCTTGTCTCGCCTGCAGATCCCACAGAGAGGTGTCAGCTCCCCTTCACAACATTCGATCTAATGCAAAAGAGGGACTCCATGCCATACCTTCAAAGAGTAGCGTTCTATGAATCCACAGGTAAAGACGCAGATCTCCTCGTCCGCCACATGAAGGAGGGCCTCGCCAAAGTTTTGGTGGACTTCTATCCCTTTGCCGGAAGGATAAGTTTCTCAGGAGGTGGCATGCCGGAGCTGGATTGCAACGACCATGGCGTCGAGCTGAGCGTGGCCGAGGCCAATGCGTCACTGGAAGAGCTGGACACCTCTCAGTACTCACCGCTGTTTAAGAAGCTCATACTGCGTGGGAACTACGAAGAGACCACCATGACCGGCACAGCACCACTCTTCGCTGCTCAGGTACCGTAGAGTTTTCCTTCTTTTTCCTGGGCACAGCTCTCAAGTATTCTTGGTGGATCTGTTCTTGGTGGACCTCCCAGGTGACTAAGTTCAAGTGTGGAGCTGTGTCAGTCGCTTGGTCCTTCGATCACCTGGCAGTCGATGGCATCGCGATGATGCACTTCATCACCTCCTGGGCCGAGGCAAGCAGCGGCAAGCCGATCTCCAAGCCTCCAGTCCACGACCGCTACTTTGAGCGGAGGAACAAAGATCTGGCAGCCAAAGTTGATGATTCCGCTCCATTCCAGTACACCTTCGTGGATCCAACAGCTGGAGTGGAGTCCAGGATCTTCTCCTTCGACGAAGACGAGGTGGAGAAGATGAAAAAACTCGTGCTCGAAGGAAACTCCGACCAGCAAGAGAACGGAGAACACGAGAGCTTCACCACCTACGAGGCCGCTGCGGCACACTTTTGGGTGGAGCTCTGCCGTGCTCGAGATCTTCCAAAGTCGCAGACGACGAGAGCCCAGATTGCCGTCAACTGCCGTCCAAAGATCGTGCCGCCGTTGCCACAGGAATACTTCGGCAACGTTGTTCTCCCCGGATTGGCGGTGTCCACCATCGGCGAGCTCACGGTACCCGGCAGCAAGGCGGTGGCGGCCAGGCTGCTCAAGAAATCCATCAGGAGCTTTGGAATGGAGGAGATCCGGTCGCAAATCCAGAGCTACCACGAAAACTACCGCAACAAAAATCCAATGGCGCAGGGGCTGACCGATGGAGTGGACATCTTCTTTGGGAGCTCGTTGCGGCACCCTCTGTACGAGGTGGATTTCGGATGGGACAAACCTGTGGCGGTGCGCCATGGACGATTCCTATGGGACGGCTTCTGCTTCTTCGATCCAAGCCCTAGGGGCGGGAGGAGCATGGACATCACCGTACATTTGCTGCCTCCAATCATGGCCAAATTCGCTACCACAATCAAAATGCTAGAACCCTAAAATGGTACTTTTATAATTTCACGTTTTATTTTTTAAGAGTGAGTACATATAATATAGAAATGTGCTTAAAAACCCTAGTTTATATACAAGAGTGAGTAATTCAAATTGAAACTAATCTAATGGTTATTAAAATCTTATTATACTAATATTAGTATACGACATTGTACTATAAGCAACTAAATGGAACGACTTGAGAGATATCCATGGGATTCAAATATAGAAGGAAAGGGCCCATGAACAAAAGTGCACCCCTTTTTTTAATTGGTTAAGGGTCTTGGGATACTTGGGGTTAAGCGTCTTTGGGTTTGAATAGTACTGGGCTGGGTGACATCCCGAGAAGTCCAAACTCAGGAGTTTACATTTGGTATCAGAGGGGTCTCAGGTCCAACTCTATTGGTTGGATAAGGGAATCACACCATATGTTGATTGACATTTGGCTGGTCCAGTTTGCTCCAACTGGGCTCGACCCAAGGGGTAGTGTCGCGAATGTGACTTCAGGTATCGAAAGTTACTTGTCGGCCAGTCCTTAAGCCAGTTTGCTCCAACTGGGCTCGACCCGAGGGGTAGTGTCGCGAATGTGACTTCAGGTATCGAAAGTTACTTGTCGGCTAGTCTTTATGAACACTCTTACCTTACTGCCACGATGGCAGAAGGTCGGTATTGCTAGACTTGTTATTAGTCTCCACCTAAGCTAGTTGAGAAACTGGTCATCACATGTGCACTTAGACCGGAAGGGCACTAAGGAAGAAAATCCTAAGTTGTCATTTAGTCAAGCAGACTTGACACGGTGATGAGAAACTCATGATGTTGGCTTGCACTTGCTAGTGTTGGGAATCCCCGCGATATTGAGCTTGGTCCCTCAATATCGCTAGATGATAGCTTACCGTGTCTGCCAAACACCCTCGCTATCATGCCCTTTGAGTTGGTCTCATTTCGGTCTCAAATGTTATTTATAGAAAGTGTCCAGATTTGCTCATTTGGCATATCTACGGAATGTAGAGATCGGCTTGAACACAATGGTGTTTGTCCCGTGTCCAAATTCACAATCTAGGGACATTCCATATTTATTAAGTTTTAAACTTATCCCAGAGACTAACTCCTGATACTAAGGGAGGTTTGGGGTGAAAGCCCAAAGCATGTGTTCCTCAAAGGGGGGGGGGGGGGGGGTATAGGAGGTTCTAAATGTATAATAGGGATAGTGGGTAGGTTGGGCATGGCCGACCAACTTGAGGCGTAGTCTAGCTCCTACTTATGTGCCTGTCTTTGTTCTGTGTTTGGTTTGGGTCTAAGCCCAAGTTCCATTCCATGCTAGCTGGTGGAGTACCCATGTCCTCACGTTAGGCCACCGATATGCCAAAATAGTGCCAGACTCCATTTAGCTCCGTTTTGCGTGCTGGTCCTGGCATTAGGATGCTGGTTGCTCTAGGACTGTTCCAAGTTGCTCCGGGCTCCTGTCCCTTCACTCCTTGGGCTATATGCTCGGGAGTTGCTCCGTGGTTTGGTTCCATCACTCCTTGGCTCCATGCTTGGGAGTTTTGCACTGTTCCTTCGTTCAAGTGGCCCAAGGCCCTGAACCTCGGGTTCCACACCACGTTCCTTTGGACACGTGGCATATGACACGTGGCATCTGTCACGTGGCACAAAGAGGGTTTAGGTTCTGCTTCGTGGTGTTATCCTATGGTAAATCACCATAGGATAAAACCACGTGCGCTACAGTTGGTATCAGAGAATGAGTCTCGGCGAGAACTATCCAATGAGATTGGGCAACTAGTCTCGTTGCATACGCAGAGATGAAAACGATGATCCGAGTGGATACACGTTTGGGTGCAAAGGGTTCGCAATTAGTTCCTTGGGTATGGATATTGTTACTTTGTTGTACCTTATGATGTGAGCTTGCGCTTGGGCTCATAGGATGGTTTGGAGATGTTTCGTTTGCACGAGTTTGAGCTTGGGCTCGTGAGTGAGGCACATTAGCAACTCGAGGTTACACTTTGAGTTGGCAGGATTAATGTTAGCTTATCGATGGTTCCGTTGATTCCATGAGTTGTTCCATGTACCATGGGTGAAAGTAAACTTTCCCTAGGTTTGCTATGAGTGGCAAATAGGTTGGTCCGTAGCTGTTTAGCACAGTATTAGTGGATCCTTCCTAGGCATGAATACAAGTGGATCAATCAAAACTATAGGGATTAGTCTATTGATTCAGGTAATCATTGCCGTGCTCTCTCATAAACCTTTCTTGGATTGGACTGAAGGCAGTGCGAAAGCAAGCTTGAGGTTTGGTCAAAGATAAGACCGAAAAGAGAGTTGTCAGAGACGAAGGATTAAACACGTAAATCATTTTCTCTTCTTGGAGAGATGATTTGCAACGAGGTGTGATTCATTGCTTGTGTTCATGGTTGTGAGACACAAAATCCCTAGGCCCCAAAGTGGAGCCGGAAAGGGTGCCACGTGGTAGTGGCTGAAGCGAGAGCCAAACGAGCGTAACACGTTTGGACCAAAAGCTCCGACTTGAAAAGTCAAGAGTGGGAGTGGAACTCCCAAAGAAGTGCTCGAGGAACGAGCACGGAGCGAGCAAAAAGTGAGGCTCCAAAAAGGGACCCAAAAGGACCAACACATGACACGTGGAAGTGTCCGAGATGGACTCGAGTTGGAGTCCGAAGTGGAGTCCGAGATGGACTCGAGTTGGAGTCCGAAGTGGAGTCCGAGATGGACCCGAGTTGGAGTCCGAAGTGGAGTCCGAGATGGACCCGAGATGGAGCCCGAGATGGAGTCCGAGATGGAGTCCGAGATGGAGTCCGAAGTCGAGACCGAGACCGGGACCGAGACCGAGACCGAGACCGAGACCGAGATCGGGACCGAGAACGAGACCGAGGCCGAGGCCGAGGCCGAGACCGAGCCCGAGCCCGAGCCCGAGTCCGAGTTCGAGTCCGAGTCCGAGTCCGAGTCCGAGTCCGAGTCCGAGTTCAAGTCTGAGAGGGTGAAAGCCCAAAGCGTTCATCTCCCAGACCCTGGGGGGTTTGGTGAGCTCCAAAAGTATAGTAGGGGGAGGACTGCAGTGGAGCCAGTTTGGCCAGGAAAGGCCAGTTTGGCCCAGGAAGGCCGGACCCAGTGTTGGGTGATGAGCTGCCCACTGGGAAGTCCAAGACTAGAGTGAACACGGACCGACAAGCGGGGTAGCTTGGTGAAGTGTTCAAGAGCCGGCTCTAGTTCCCCCGGGAGATCGACTGGCTGATGCTCCCAGTCCAAGTGTGGGTGGCACTACCTACTTGGATACTTGGTGTGGCTCACCGGAACCCGCTCTAAGCCCATGGCTAGAGCACCCAAGGGCAGAAGGCGAGGAGAGTACCCAGGTGGCTCGCGTAAGGCCACGGTGTCCCGAAATGTTGTCCCAAAGGCCCAGACTGTGGAAAGGAAGAGGAGCAGTCCTCTGGGGTAGTGACCAAGGACACAGTCGTGTGGTGAGGAAGTCCCAGAGGACTGTGGGACTTAGTGGTCGGGCCTATGGGTCTCGATCCAGTGGCAGTGTTGGCAAACACGACCAGGGGCAGAAAGGGACTTAGTGGGGACTGACAGAGGGATATTGGGGAAGGCTATTCCCCTTGTCGGTGGGCATCCTAAGGATGCTAAGGAGTGGATCTGAGATGACCACTCACGGATGGTTTGCCTAGTCTTGGAGAGCCAAGACTGTGATGCAAGTGGTATTGGACTACCAATGTGGCAAAGGTGATTGGGCATGGCCTTAGCGTAACGGGCTGCTATGTCGGTGGTACCTTTGAGTGTTGGTCATGGGATCGGACACGTGGAGCACTTGGACCAAGTGCAAATGTTGAGTGGCATGGATGCCATTCTCGGGGCTAGCAAGTCCCAAGTCCTGGATTGGACTTATGGAGGTTGTGAATGAGACTCCTCCAAGTGGTCAGAAGTGTGGTTAAGTGACTAAAGTAGAATGGAAAATTTAGTCGCTTACAACGGTATGCAATCAAGAGTCCCTATCTTGATGCATATTGGACGTGATAGTCTTACAAGTGGTGAGTCGTGGGATGGATAGTAGTGAAGTGCTATACCATTTTATCGAGGCTTACTATTGTAAGACTTGGGTTGCAATGCTCAATTCTTTTCCGGGGAAGCTTGCTATTGCTCCTTGAGTAGCTTGGTGTTGGATTGGTTTTGAGTTTGGTCGGAAAGAGAGTGGCATGAGCTTGTCCATGTTGTAAACAAAAGTTAGTGGTGTTAGGTGTTGTAAATCTCTATTGATGGGGTGTGGCATTTATGTTGCATTTTGTCGAATCGAGTTGGCACTTGATATTCACTTAAACCTTTGCAGTAGTGACATGGGCATTGCTCATAGTGTTGCTTGATTGATGATCAAGTCATTGTGATTCATATCATATCCATGTGATAATGAGCAATGTGTTTACGAAGTAGTTTGGGTAAATGATGATCAATCCCAAAGTGGTTGATGGAGAAGCTAGTCTACTTGCACGAAGTAACATTGTAGTAGCTTTGACTGGATTCTCAATGGTGGTCTATTATGCTAAGCTTAAGTTAGTACCTTGCTTACTTGAGTTTGCCCATAAAGGTGTTGGAAAAGGGTTATAGCATTCACTTGCTATGACTTGTCAGTTGATTCGTTAGCACTTGGAGTAAATTGTTGGATGGAGAAGATGTGTAGTTGGGGCATTGACATCACTAGCACTTGTGTTAGTGGAAGTGGCATTGTTATTTTAAGTGATGAGGAATTTTCCTTGGACCTTGATTTTCCATGTCATTTTTCTTATTAGTGTTTTGGTTTCACATTTGATCTTGAAGGTGATTGAAGAAGAGTGTTAGTGCAATGTGGATATCTGAAGATGTGGTCTTCGTGATCAAGCCTTGGATGTTCCATTTTGCACTTTGCGGATGTCGGTGTTGGATATCGGTTAGATGGGCAAAAATGTTCGATGCTTAAACATGCTATTGGGTCATAAGAATTTGTGTTGAGGTGAACCTATGTGAAGTTGTGTTGAGGTGAACCTATGTGAAGTTGTAGTAAAAGG